AGACCGGCTCTCGCCTATACCTATCCTTGACAGCTGTACACTTATAACAGGGTGCCGTATTGAGGTTCATTTTCGCTGTCAAAGCAGAAAGATCTTCGTCGTATTGCATGCCAGACCAAGTAATGAGGATATCAGGGTTGACTTCATGTATAGCATCACAACCAGCGCTCATATTGCCGACGAGGGTCTGCCAGTTGTAATACAAGTTGGTGTTGTTCCATGATTCTCGGAGCTCGTTTCGAAGTGACATGGAAACCACGTTTGAGTGATTCTTGGCCCAATTGGCCACGAATGACAGCCCACGTCGCCAATTTGAAGCGTTGAAGCTGATATCATCAAACCAGGCATTGCCGTCAGTATGGGAGCAGCACCATTGCGCTTTACCTACGTGAACGTCTGGATGAACGAAGATGCCCTTCTTTGCAGCCGTATCAGCAATATCTGACCAGATTTCGAAGCGTGTGGTCTCCCGCGTCCACCCGGGGTTGTTGGTGATTATTTCGTTCGTCACTTTCGTGCCATTAACATAACCTAGTGCTTGAATCATAGCAATCTCGAGTGGTACGTCTACTCCTTCTCGATCATATATCTGATCAACCATTTCAATAGCGTATCCCCTTCGACAACCTTTAGCGAACACCAATCTGAGTATTTTTCCAGATAACTCACATCCTAACAAAATTCCACCCCACACTGGCAACATCATCTAGAATTTTGTCTACGGAGGCCCATTCTAGTCCCTCAGGGACCATTGTCTCCCCACTCATCGGCCAATTGACACCAGCCCATGTGATCACCTCGCCGTGAGTATTCACGATATCTCTGCCCTTTGTTTTGAAGGGTCCATAGGGCCACTCTACCGATTCATTCGCAGGCCGCTTAACATGCTGGTTGCTGGCAATCCAGCGGCGGTCTGATAGCAGCGTTGGCGTTTTGGAAAACTGAGCAAAGACAGAACCCGCAAGGTATGGGCAATTGCCAGAAGTAACTTCACCATCTCAGCAGGAATAGGAATTTCTTCGGCACGTAGTACGATGAACTCCCAGGAGAAATGGCACAAGATCATGAGCTGCCATGATTCGGGCCTTCATGTACGCGCAGCGGCTCCGTGAGCCCCGTACGCCTAACATCAATGAATGAGATTGGTGCGCAATATGCATGCTCTAGCCAAACCTAAGGCTCTCGGTGTCGGGGCAAGAAGCCCGAACAGGCTTCTGAGGCGGGGAACTTCCCCACAGGTGAAGGGGAGGGTCCTTGTCAGTGACGATCTTCTCTTAACAAAATTTTCACGGTCAAGTGACATCATTTTTGTTCGTGCAGATGGAAACTGTGCATCTTTCTATAACTCTATATCATCAGAAAGTAGCGCAGCCTATACAGGAAGCCATGCGCTATGTCTAACAGTATACAGGTCTGCAATATTGGCCCCGACTATCGCCTTGCGTTTTAAGAATTATTCTTTCAGAGTGGTCCTCCAATAGGTCGGGCCAAATTACAAAAATCATCACCTGAGGGATCGCCTCACTCGAAGACACATTGACTCTGGTCCCGGCGGTGGCCATCGAGCTTGACTTTAGGTTGTTGTAGGTCGGTTATCGTTGCTTTCGGAAGCATAATGCGCCTAGATGCCGAGATATAGATACCATCCATAACCTCCGATTACAGTCTCATTGCTCGCAGTAACCTTGCGCACCTTATGGTTTCTATCTTTCCTCCAACGAGTCAAGTAAACATTATACTTGATAAGCTGTGCGGAATGCTACCCGCTCGTTTTCTGATTCCGATGAGTAAAGCCGGCGATGCAGATCCTGGACTTGCATTCATTGGTTACGCATTTTCGGACGGCCATAAACAAGCTTGTATCTCGGCCGCGAAGGCGAAGAAGTCCATCCGTAAATACGAAATGCCGTCCAAGTTGCTGGCATTCACGGAAATAGTCCCGGGCTTGATCCAGGTGTCATGTTGGTGTTCATATTGCCCAAGTACGAGTCTCCATGCCAAGAAGCATATCGCTTATGCCCTCCCAGTGTAATTCATGCCAAGCTCGAGGGTCCGAAGAGTCTCCAGCAGTCTGTGGAAAATGTTGTTCATAGCTAGATTCTGGAGAAGTTAATAGGCCTGGCATGAACATATTCTGTCTGGAAGTAACCTCTCCTGCATCGAATGGTCTGATGCCCGTTATGAAGCCACTGTCTCTTTGATCCTCCAGACGCAGCGGCGGAGGGCCATCTAAGCGAGGATCTGGTCCCGCCGAAAGCAGGAATTGCATCGCTGCTCCCGCAAAGTCAGGAACGCAAGGTTCGACTACTTCAGTGACAGGAGACAGAGCTTGTTGCTCGGTGGGCTTGCCACCAGTGAACTCAATGATCATAGTGTTAAGCTCTCCCACCACCGTCAACCATCTATGCATGGTGCCCGGGACCATTGCATTACGTAAGTGCTTTGCAGCCAAGTTGGTGCATTGAATTAGAAGACTTCTTGCTTCGGCTGCAGATTCATGTTTGCTTTGTTTGATATCACATATTATACTCAAGACGAGGATCAATGTCGACGAATAAAGGTAATAGACATCTAACCAGGTAAGAGCGTTAAAATTGTTGGTAGAGTCTAATTTGAGGAGTAGTTGGCAAGAAAGTCGACCGGATTCGATGCAAATATCTGACATGGATATTAAAGGCTCTGGAAAGGCGTTGCTGCGGTCTGTCGACAATGTAGTGAATCTCGAGAGAAGGGCGTATCGCGATATGAGGGATACAATATAATGATGTTGAACATGTAATAAGATGAGTGGACGTTGAAATGATGGTGGCATGGCATCAATCGAATCCATAGAGAGGTGCTGTGGCAAGCCTGTTCGCCATTTGGTTAAATCTCTAACAAGACCAGCTGCAGGAGAGAGAGGACCCGAGTAGCCGTCTTTCGCGGCGTCTGGCAAGGCTCGACAGGCCGAACCTAGCATAACGACTAGTCGATTCGACCAGGTGATATATTCCGGTATGTTATGTGTGCCCATGCCCAGTATTGTTTCTCGTGGAGAGCCAGCTAGATGCTTTGCACTGTCAATAGCGCTAGGCCTGTCATGAGATGACACCTGAAGCTGCTCAAAGGAGTAAAGTGTCCACCAGATTCTCTTCCTCATTTCCCGAGCAAGTGGCGTGCCATTAGTCTCAAGACCATCACGATGTAAGCCGATCGCAAAACCTATTCGAACAGCAGCTCCGGTCAATGTCCAGCAAATATCTCGAGAGTTCGTGTTATGCAGGTGTAGTGCCGCTAGCATGAGAGCTTGGATCGATGTGAGGCTGGAGGTGAACATGACCTTGGACAGTAATGACTGGATTCGGCACCACCACTTCTCTTCCTGATAGTCTGAGATAGGCACATCACAAAGGCGACGGGCGAGTATCAGCACACAAAGGAAACTGCAGAGCCACACTTGGTCTGCATCCTTCGGGGCTCTGCACCACGCATCAAGAGCCTCCAGGAATGTAGCTTCGTGCAGAACAGGAAAGTCGACATTGATACGATCGAAAAAGATCCTAACAAGCATAAATACAATAGAATGATCTGCTTGAGTCGGTTCTGATGCTGGTGACGGTCCATTGCTTGGCGATGTTACGCTTGCAATAGAGTGAATGTCCAAAGTCTCCTCGGAGCCTGGCCCGTCAAGCGCTGACTCGGGATGTAGTCGGTTGCTTGCTGGATTTGGGCCGAATAGATACATCCGTCCCACAGTGCCCTTTTGGCTTCTGCCAACGAGGGCCCGGAGTTTCATCTGGAAAAAATACGAACTGGCTCGCCCAATATACTGTCCCTGGCCTTGAAGGTCATGAACCAGCTGCTCGTTTTCCTCTTCTTTTGAATCAGCGCCAGCACTGCTGCTTCGGGCGTCCGCTGTAGACGATGTATCAGGCATTGGAATGCCCAAAGCGTTTGCCATTTCTTGCATGCTCTCAAGATTAGAAAGATCTGCCTCCGGCATAAGGCCCTTAACGAGACTCTCCAGCATGGCCACCCGGGCACTGTGAGTTTCGATGCTTCCATATAGACGCTGCTTGCGTGGCTTAGTAATGACACAGTTGTATCCATATTTTAGGCAGTGATTGCACTTGTCCTGCCCTGGCCAGGTGCTACACTTCTGTTTCCTACTCTTGCAGCGGTCGCAGCTGTGCTCGGTCCGCTGCCGCAACTCCTGAGGAACTCGGCGGCTCTTAGGACCCATCTTCGGCAGACTGTAGACGAAACCCCAGCAGGAAGAATCGGATCAACCAGATACGACAAGGGAATCGAGTCGTTCATGCCAATCTCTTCATAGTGTTTGCGAAGGGACGTCGTCTGTAGCGTCCTCAAGAATCCGGGGGCGGCTTGCTTGCAGCCGCAAGGGTCTGGGCTGGGTGACTATAGATTATTATATTTCTCGGCGGCCAGACGCCACGCCTCGCCCCTCGATAAGCACTGGTTTTCAAGCGTCTTTTCAAACCTGGCGCCGTCTTGAAAGCTAGCGAGATGCGATCAGGACAAAGGCTGTGATGGGCTGGCGAGCATTTGTGCGGGGAATAGGAGGTGTAATAGCTCGGGGCTAAGCCAGACTGTTATAAGCGCAGCCTGAGCCGGTCCCAAATCTGTGGTATCTGCCCCGAGTCTTATCAGTGGGTCTGTCCCGGACATCGCGGCTTGCATACAAGCCGCATCTCCAACGGCAATGCAGCCGTAAAGCAGAGATTATCTCGAATTGTGATTGTTATGCAGCCCGGGCCAGGGTGGAGATGCACCTCCAAGGGTGGATGGCCGTGTGCAGGTGATAGCTCAGGTTGCCTTTCTCTCAATACGTGTTATCAGCATGGTTGCCGATGCTGCACCTGCGAGGGCGATGCAAGTATAAGACTCAATCCCCTCTTCGGATCGACAAGTCCACCTATATGACAGCCTTCAGACACTCTCAAAAACTCACAGGGCCTTAACTTTACCATTGTAATCACTGTTTCGTGTAGAACATCACAATGGTCTCAAAATCGAGAGAGGGCATAATCACAACTGTCGGTGACAACATGTCGGCCAATCTATCTGGTTCTGAGAAGAACGAGACCACTGTTTTGAAAACAACTAAGGACGGTATTCCTTTGGTCCCCCAGCCCAGTGATGACCCCGAAGATCCTCTGGTTGGTTCATACCGTCTCTCTTTGATCTCTTTCATGAACTGATCAAGCACTTTAGAATTGGAGTACCTTTCGCAAACATGCAGCACTGGTTGTGCTTGCAATGGAGTCACTCATGGTCAAGTTCTCTGCAACCCTTATTGTAAGTATTTGGCAGACGCGATGCAAATCCTTCACTAGGACCGTGCTGATCGCGTCAAGGCTCCCGGTGCACACACCCTCGCTGCCCAATTTCACACCGCAGCATCCAAAGCTACCTACATCGGCTCTGCGCCATCGATTCTTTACGCAGTAGCTCCATTGATCTGGATCCCTTTAAGTCATCGAGTCGGTCGACGGCCAATTCTACTTGTTGGACAGATCATCGCCCTCCTCGGTGCAATTGGAGTTGCTCAGTCTCAGTCGTACGCACAGGCCCTAGGATGTCGGATGATTATGGGTTTTGGCGGAAGTGCTGGTCTATGTATTGGTCCAGCATCGATTTCCGACATGTTTTTTCTTCATGAGAAGGGTACTCGTATGGGAGTGAACAGCATGCTCCTTGTGGTTGCTCCTTACATTGGTGAGTTACCTCGATCAAGTGTGTGAATAATTCAATGATCTAACTTAGCAATCAGGTGGCATTGCCGGCGGGTCGGTACAACAAAATCCTCATCTCGGCTGGCGATGGGCTATGTACGTGTCAGCCATTTGCTATGCCGCCCAACTCATTGCGCAATTCTTCTTCGGTAAGTCTCTTCAATCTACGCAAGTGATGATCTTTTGCTAAGAAAGACTAGTCCCCGAAACCATCTATGAGAGAGAAGTCGCCGCTACGGAGCCCCCAGAGAAGAAGAACACACTCGCAAGAAGACTCATGTTCCGCACCCCAACGAATCCTACAGGAGAGACTTGGTTCCAAACATTCAAGCGGCCATATAAGATGTTTGTTTACCCTGCTGTACTTCTGCCCTCCTTCTGGGTGTCCACTGGTGTCATGACTGAAGTGGCCAATACGGCTGGTTTCGCCTTAAACTTCGGTGTGACCAGCAAATTCCATTTTACTACGGCTCAAGTCGGATTTTGCTTCTTCTCTGGACTAATTGGTGCATTTTTCGGGGAGCTTTGCGCCGGCCCACTCTGTGATTTGGTCGCGAAGCGTACTCTGAAAAAAGAAGAGGAATGGCAGCCAGAAAAGATCCTGAAGCTTGTTTTTACTGGTCTTCTCACAATCTCGGTAGGATAAACACCATCGGACTCTCTAATCTTTCTCATTGCTGATTTCGGGTGTAGGTCGGCCTCATTCTGTACGGCTGCGAGCTAGAGTATGGCTCCGGTTGGGCTGCACCTCTCTTCGGCATGGTGCTATTCGTCTTCGGTCAAGAGATCTTGGTCACCGTAATCATGACATATATGACGGATGCCTATCCTGATGATGCTGCCGAGGTCGCAATTGTCTTCCAATTCTTCTTCAACGTTATGTGCTTCCACCCACCATTCTACACCCCCCAGTGGATCGCACAACCAGGTGGTGCAAAGGTCCCTTACATTGTCTATGCAATCTTACCGATCGTATTTTTTCCACCATGCATTGGAGTTCTAATGTGGAAAGGCAAGAGTATCCGAGGCAGAGGGACATGGTCTTCCCTGATCAAGAAGGAATGATGAGTCTAGCTATATACGCTAGAAAAATTAATAAAGATTAGCTCACGGTAGCGTAGGTCAATAGAAAGAACTTTATCGTAGTTACAAGTAGACATGATGGTACGCAAGAAATGCGTTGTTGTTAAACCCAAACAGCCTTATGACTCATGCCCCTTTCATCGAACATTATACGAAATGAGAGATGAATGAAATGAAGCTACCAACTAACCTTGAATCTAACTGCGTGGTAAATATGTTGAGATGTCTCATAAAATTGTCTCATTGACACTTGTTCAAACTGAAAGTCATTCGCATCTTGGTTTCTCCAAACTATGCTTAGAGGATCATATACAATGTCGCGTCTTATAAAGTTTCAATGCGATATATTTACAATCTTGTCCAAATTTGTCCAAATAATTTTGACACATCATGATATAGATTTGCTCGCTCGTTACGCCGTTGCAGTCAATTTTGCAAACATGTGATCTCCCTTCTTCAAATCGCCTTCCAAATCATGTTCCCAAATCCACAGAAAACGCTCGTTCAAATTTCTCACAATCTTGTCCATATCTTCTCCTGTTTCAGGATGCGTGAATGAATATACCTGCCCCGCCTCTTGGCTTGTTTTCACTACTTTTTGTGCTCGAGGTCGACGGATGGAATCATATACCTGGAAGGCAAGGGGCAATTGCTTTGCATTCTTCACTTTTCCTAGAAGGTTTGAAAGAACCAAAGCATCCTCAATGCATTGTCCTGCTCCAGAGGCCTGATGAGGTGTCGTGGCGTGGGCAGAGTCTCCTAAGAGACAAATCAAGCCGTTGTAGTACGTCGGGGTGTTCATATGATGATGGAGGGACCATTGCAATGGATCTGCCCACTATTGTTCCAAACTATTAGCGAATCTGAATGGCCTCAACAGATAGATCGGGAGCATTTTACGTCGAGAAGTTTCACAATTCTCTTGTCAACCCCTTTTGCGAAATCTGCCACCATTTCTTCTTTTGTCACCCGCTTCGTCCACTGATGGTGAGTCCAAGGCTCGTCGGTGAACTTGAAAGCAACTAGATTGCATTGTGTACCTCGTGAAATCGGGAATGTGATAAAGTTGACATTGTGGCCAATGAATGATTTGGCGTCGCCCGCGTGGTCTCCTAGGATCTCAAGAGCATCCTTCATGGGTATGATTGATCTGTAGACATATTTGCCGCTGTAGGTAGCTGAAACTTCTTCGGGCCATCGGTCTCCCAGGACATAACCTCTAGTCGGTCCCTTTGCACCATCACTGCCGATAACAGCCGAGGCTTCAGCGACCTCACCGTCCTCGAAAGTGATGATAACCTTGTCTTCCAGCTGTTCCATGCTCTTCACTCTCTTGCTGAACCGGACGGTCTCCCTAGGTATCATGCTGGTCAAGATATCCAGCAGGTCTTTGCGGTGTGCACTAGTTCTATCATAGCATTCTGCACCATAGGGTGCTGGGACCCAGCCGCGCTTCTCACCAAACCCGTCCTCAGCATAGAGAGCATCCATCATGACATGATCTTTGTTTGGAGTCAGGTTGCCCGAAGAAATATCATTGTACATCGCTCGCAACTTCGGGTCGATCATATCCATAGCCCGGAGGGCATTTGGACCAAGACCGACTCCAGCACCTACGATGCTGTATTCACGAGCAGATTCGTAAAGTGTGTAAGGAACATTGTGTTTGAGACAGCCGATTGCAAATGCTAAACCACCAATGCCTGCGCCAATGATGGCAATCTTGAAAGGCGGCTCGGCGACGTTTTCATCGGACGAGACTGAGTGTGGCATCTTGGGTTCGGTTGGTGTGGGCCGGTTCTTCGATTTCAAGGAGCGGAATGAGTTGAGGATCGACTCAAAGCAAGATAGGGACATGCTGGATATGAGGTCCAAGCCGACCGTCGATAATCAAAGAAGCTTCTTGAATGGGCTTTATTGAACATCGAGGTCGATCGGTATCGGTGATATAAAACATTTCATCTCAAGGTTAGATCACCGAATTCTAAGAAACATTCGATTGCATCGAACATACTAGGATCAGATCCGACGTGCGTCCGTACACGTTCCGCACCACTTGCGCCTGCAATTGCCGCTACGCCGCTGATCTCAGGGCCCCCGGTTGCTGACAAGCCGCCACGGGCTGCTTGCAGCCCGCAGCAAACCGTAAGTGGCAACCTCGAGGGATGCACGCATGCGCAGCGCTGAACGAGCTTGTCATGCTGAAGAATTAGAGATATACCATAGCTAATGTGATATCCTAGTGGCATTACATGTGAAAGCTTCGATCTCCCAACAACATTCAGGATTTCGGAGTTTCATTCGATTCTGACTTTAGATTTCCAGGTCGTGATCATTGTTTCGCACGAGGTCGACAACCTCATTGTCCTACAGTAGAAGCCTTCTTTCTTGTCTGATTTGAGAATGGCTGCGCCTGCTGCATCAGTATCACGGGCGGTCAGCCGAAAGCTAGTGGTTGATATACACACTCATCTATACCCGAACGCATACATTGAGCTCCTCAAGTCACGGAGCGAGATACCTTACGTGCGACCATTTCCTCCATCAAACCAACTATGCTTGTGCAATCGACCTCCCCAGAATAGCAACAGCACAGGAAGTAACGCTGGGTCATCCAAAATACCGCCTGGCCGAATATTGCATCCTCACTACTATGACATCGCAGAGAAAATCTCTTTCATGGATCATCACCAAATAGATATCTCAGTCATATCGCTCGGCAATCCCTGGCTAGACTTCCTTCCATCAGATACGGCCGGGGAAACTGCACAGGATATAAATGATGCGACAAATGACATTTGTAATCAACATCCAGGTCGTCTTTTCTTCTTCGGGGCCTTGCCTTTAAGTGCCCCTGAATCGGTTATCTTGGCGGAGATCACTCGGTTGCAGACGATAACTCAAGCACGAGGGATCGTGATGGGCACGGGCGGCCTAGGCGAGGGCCTCGATGATCCAAGGCTCATACCTATATATAAGGCGCTGGCTGAGAACTCTCTCCCAATATTCCTACATCCTAATTATGGACTACCGGGTCCTGTATGGGGAAGTCGTGGGTCAGATTATGGCCAGGTTCTCCCCCTTTCCCTCGGATTTCCAATGGAGACTACTATCGCTATGACACGCCTGTTCCTGTCTGGAGCATTTGATGCTGTTCCAGAACTCCAGGTAATTGTAGCGCATAGTGGTGGCTGCTTGCCATTCCTTGCTGGGCGTGTCGAGGCGTGTATCGAGCATGACAAGAAGTGGGAAGCTGATGAGAGGTTGACACCAGATCGGAGAACTCTATGGGATGCCATGCGGAACAACATATATCTTGACGGTGTCATCTTTGACAAAGTCGGCTTGAAGACGGCGATTGAAGCCAGTGGCGTTGATCGTGTCATGTTTGGGACAGACCATCCATTTTTCGCGCCTCTCGATGGAGGGAAGACGTTCCCAGCGATGACATTAAATAGAGATGCGGCACGAGACGTGTTTCCAGAGGAGGGAGACGAGAGTTATGATTTGGTCATGGGTGGTAATGCGGTCAGGGTTCTCAACCTTCGATAGAGAAATAAATTTAAGAATTCAATCCCCAATAATGTTCATTTGCCTCCTAACTGCAAGCAATCGAATGCATTACATCGTTGAATCTGGTATAAGAAAGAAGGATTTCAACTAGTCTTGACAAAATACAACGATGCTCAAATCAATGATTCATTTCAAGGTATGCATGTTTTCACTAATACTACTGCAATTATATGTAAATGTTTCCCGAAGACTTAGGTGTGCTTATAGACCAAATAAATCTCAGCAGTGATGGCCGCTCACGAGGATCACCTTTCACAGAATACCTGATAATGACTTGTTCCCACGAGCATCCGAGAGGCGTAACTAGGCAGGGTATCGTAGGCCAGGTGGCACAGGCTTCCGGGTCCTCTAGCTAGTAATTTAGCGTCCATGGCCACCAATATCCACGCCATCGACTGGCGGCCTTATTAGATAGAAAATTGATCTACAGGGCGCTACACTACACTAGAGAGGGGAGCTGTGCGGTTTGCTGGCTTGCTGCGCAACTGCCTCTGACAGGACAAATCCAGCGGATACCTGCATCCGCAAAGAATCATGTCTACCCCCGTTCATGGTCAGCCTGGCTCCTCACTGTGTGACAGTAGTGATTGACAGCTCCAGATCGGTCATCGAGTCCGACGGCGGGGCCTATGCCATGAGGATGTTTCTGGATGAGTTTCGCAATAGATGATCGACTTCGTTGCAATATAATTGAACTGAATTAGAATACACTGTTTTTGTTGTTCTTCTGCGAATTCCCTTTTTGTTCCGGTAGAATACCCCCTTCCCAATTTAACAAACAACAAACAATGGGAAGCTTAGATGCGCCGAGGACGGCGGGCATCCAGATTGCCATCGATCGCGGCGGCACATTCACAGACGTCCATGCCATTGTTCCTGGCAAGGAGGACGACATCGTCCTGAAGCTTCTCTCAGTCGATCCCCAGAACTATCCTGATGCGCCAACGGAAGGTATTCGTCGGGTGCTCGAGAGAGCACTTGACAAACCCGTTCCCCGCGGGCAGCCTATCGACGTGTCTGCCGTCTCTAGCATCCGTATGGGCACAACAGTTGCGACAAATGCACTTCTTGAAAGAAAGGGTGAAAGATCCGCCCTTCTTATAACAAAGGGCTTCAGGGATCTCCTCGTTATAGGCAATCAGGCCCGACCAGACATCTTCGATCTGACTGTCTCCAAACCGGGAGTCCTGTATGAGAAGGTCATTGAAATCGACGAACGAGTGACACTGGAGGGGTTTACAGAGGATCCGGAGAGGAAGGTTGTAGATGCCAGCTCAGATCCCAATCTCATTGTCGGCCTGTCGAAGGAGGTCGTGCGCATCATGCAGAAGCCAGACCTTGCAGATGTGCGCAAGAAAATCCAGAGCCTCTACGATGAGGGCTTCAGGAGTTTAAGTGTCTGTTTCATGCATAGCTACACTTATCCAGACCATGAACTCGCAGTTGCCAAAATTGCGGAAGAGATGGGTATGAGCGTCTCCATCAGCTCGCTCCTGCAACCAATGGTAGGGACAAATGACCCCAGTGACTCTCGAGCATCTACTGACTGAATTGAGTAGATCAAGATGGTGCCTCGAGGGCAGTCTGCAACTGCAGATGCTTATCTTACTCCTCTAATCCAGAAGTACCTTGCGGGCTTCCGGAAAGGTTTCATCGGCCAACTAGAAGACTCTTCAAGCACAAGGTGCGATTTCATGCAAAGTGACGGTGGTCTCGTCAATTTCCGCAAGTTTTCTGGTCTCCGTGCGATCCTGTCAGGTCCTGCTGGTGGTGTTGTAGGGTATGCACAGACTTCCTACGACAAGGAGTCAGCAAAGCCCATCATTGGTTTCGATATGGGTGGCACATCAACAGGTATGGTGTCAACTTCAAAAATGCCATATGTCTCAGCTGATATCTCCTCTAGATGTATCTAGATATGCTGGCTCCTATGAGCACATCTTCGAAACAACCACCGCAGGAATCGCCCTACAGACTCCGCAGCTTGACATCAACACAGTCGCAGCTGGCGGTGGTTCTCGACTTTTCTGGTCAAATGGACTCTTTAAGGTCGGCCCAGAGAGCGCAGGGGCTCACCCAGGTCCTGCCTGTTATCGCAAAGGTGGACCGCTTACTGTCACCGACGCAAATCTCTTCTTAGGTCGCCTGGTGCCTGAGTACTTTCCCCAGATTTTTGGCGAACATGAGAACGAGCCACTTGATGTCCTCGTTACTCGCAAGCACTTTGAAAAGCTCACAGCCGATGTTAACGCCGATCTTCCAACTGGAACTTCTAAGCTAACCTCGGAGGAGGTAGCTCTCGGTTTCCTCCGTGTGGCTAATGAGAGTATGTGCCGACCGATTCGAACGTTGACAGAAGCCCGTGGTCACGATGCCGCACACCACGACTTAGCTGTCTTCGGTGGTGCTGGCGGTCAGCACGCTTGCTCTATTGCATCTGCGTTGGGTATCAGCCGTGTCATCCTGCACCGCTTCAGCTCCATCTTGTCCGCCTATGGCATGGCCTTGGCCGATATTGTTGCCGATGTGCAAGCGCCTTTGGCCTGTGTATTTGATGATGAAAATCTGCCATCGATCAAGAGCACCGCCTCTGAGTTACGAGACAAGGCAGAAAGAGAATTGAAGAGCCAAGGTCTCGACGAGGATACAATCGTAGAGTACGAGCTGTATCTTCACATGCACTACGGTGGCTCCGACACTCTAATCATGATCTCTCAGCAGGGTGACGACTGGGACTTTGCAGCTAGATTTATTGAGCGTCATAAGCAAGAGTTTGGCTTCACCATGCCTCGTGAGGTCTATGTCGGTGACGTCCGCATCCGTGCTGTCGGTAAGAGCAGGGCTGGATCGAACGTGACCGTTCCTGCGCAGGAGATGAACACCACCGCCCTCTCTGCTGCTTCAGAGAAGGCTGTTCAGATGGTGAAGGATGTCTACTTCGAGGGTATGGGCTGGCAGAAGACGCCGGTATATCTTCTCAATTCGCTTCACTCCGGCAACCAAGTCATGGGTCCAGCGATGATCATCGATGATACCCAGACTATCCTCATTACCCCCAATGCCACTGCTACAGCCCTTAAGCAACACGTTGTCATTGACATGGACTCTTCAGCCTCGGGCAATGGCCTGGCTTCAGGACCGGTCCTTGATCCAGTCCAACTGTCTGTATTCGGGCATCGTTTCATGGGCATTGCAGAGCAAATGGGTAGGACCCTGCAAAAGACTAGTGTCAGCACCAATATCAAGGAGCGACTGGACTTTTCCTGTGCTCTGTTCTCAGAAGACGGAAGACTTGTTGCAAATGGTACTTTCTCCTGGAGAACTCTCTAATGTGATCGAAAAGGCTAAAACGTTTAGCTCCTCATGTCCCCGTACATCTCGGAAGCATGCAATATGCAGTGCTTTGGCAGCACGAGCATTGGAAAGGCAATCTCAAGGAGGGCGATGTCCTAGTGTCCAACCATCCTAGTATGTCAATCGTTCTGGCGTCGTCAACCTTTGCTAATACCCAGCAGTCTGTGGCGGTACTCATCTGCCCGACATTACGGTCATCACGCCGTTCTTCAGTAATGGCAAGATTGTCTTCTATGTCGCCTCCAGAGGCCATCACGCGGATATCGGAGGAATCTCTGCAGGCTCGTTGCCACCCAACTCCACTGAGCTGTGGCAAGAGGGTGCTACCATCCAAGCAGTCAAGCTTGTCGAGGAAGGCGTCTTCAATGAGGACGCGATGCGCCGTCATCTTCTTGAGAAGCCGGCCCAGTATCCGGGATGCAGTGGTGCCCGAAACTTATCGGACAACTTGGCTGATCTTCGTGCTCAGACTGGTGCTAATCAAAAGGGTATCAACTTAATCGGCCAGCTAGTTGGTGAATATGGCCTGGAAACTGTTTTGGTAAGCCTGGCACGATCTTCCTTTAGCATAAGTTGGTTAACATGTACCAGTTCTACATGAAAGCCATCCAACAGAACGCCGAACTTGCAGTGCGTCGCCTCCTGAAAGAAACGTACGTCAAGTTTGACGGCCAGCCCCTTGAGGCCACTGAGTATATGGATGATGGTAGCCCTATTCATTTGAAGATCACTATCAATGGCGAGAATGGCACCGCGGACTTTGACTTCACCGGAACCGGACCTGAAGTCTATGGTGAGCAGCGCTTTGCAACACCGTCCTCTCTTCAGTAATTAACAGCCATTTAGGAAGCACAAACGCCCCGACATCTGTCACCTACTCAGCAATCATCTACGTCCTACGCTGCCTCGTAAAGGAAGACATCCCCCTAAACCAAGGCTGCCTGACACCTATCAACGTCATCATGCCACCTCGTACCCTGCTCTCTCCCAGCGCCGAAGCAGCAGTTGTAGGCGGCAACTGTGTCACCTCACAGCGAGTCACCGATGTCATCCTCCGCTGCTTCGACTCCTGCGCCGCAAGTCAGGGGTGCCTGAACAACCTCACCTTCGGCAAGAGCTCCAAGCTCGACGCGGACGGCAAATACACTCCCGGGTACGGCTACTATGAGACGCTCGCTGGAGGCGCCGGGGCTGGACCCGGTTGGGACGGCACGGACGGCGTGCATGTCCACATGACCAACACCCGCATCACAGACGCCGAGATCTTCGAGAGGCGATATCCCTGCCTGGTCCGGGAGTTCAGCCTGCGCCACGGAAGCGGTGGTGACGGCCACTACAAGGGCGGCGAGGGCTGCATCCGCGACATTGAGTTCCGCGAGCACCTGTCCGCCGCCATCCTGTCGGACAGGAGAGTGCACGCGCCGTACGGTATGCATGGCGGCAAGCCTGGCGCGGTCGGTGTGAACTTGTTCATCAAGAAGCTGCCGAACGGAGAGGACCGAGTCATCAATCTGGGGCCGAAGAACTCCATAGTTGCCCGACCTGGAGATCGCATGGTCATCATGACGCCTGGTGGTGGCGGCTGGGGAGAAAGGGGAGCAAGAGAGGCGGCCAATCCCAGTGACGAGCTAGCTGCTGGTAAGGGTGTGCCTTATATCGTTGGCGGAGGCAGCGTTGCCTCCATTCAAGCCATGCAAAACAGCAACTAGGTCAATTGACATAGAATGCGGGTGGTTGTAGTCAGTTTGGGAGTTGGGTTGCTCACGTTGAGTAATCGCAAGTGTATTTGAGCTGTCATTATGACAAAAGATAAAGCCTAAACGGGCACATAGAAACAAGGATGAATGGGGTATCTATGTCAAAGTACCGTAACGGCTGTTGAATGAATCAAATAGTCCGTTGATACATATTCGATAGTATTGAGAAATCAGGCATTTGCCTTCCTCGTCCGTGTACTCTCATGAGGAACTGGCCAACACTGTTGCTGGTCACCGCGTCTCTCGCTACAAAGCCTTCCAGATCAAGGACAGTCGTTCCAATGTTCTGCGTGTCTCCGACCATATAGGTCATTGTCGTAATGATATTTCAGTTCGCTTGTATATTTGGTTATATTTCCGGCGTCGCAGTACTCCTCGTCCTTCTCCCTTGCGAGCTCCTTTGCAATTTTCCCTCGTCTGGGACAGCACGAGCGGCCAGTTTCTCCCTAACTCTTCTCAGATTTCCCTCGTCGATATCTCTTCTCCAGGTACAGCGTTCATTGAACTCGCAACTTCGACATTTGTTGGCCTCCTCGATGTCAACGCCCTTTGCCGGCCGCTGCCCTTGCCACCACTGCATGTTCTCCTGTAGATATAGTTCCAGCGCTTCTTGGTCGACTGGCATGACGTTTTTCCCAATAATCTTCCCCTGAGTGTCCTTGTCGGACTCATCACTTTCGTCGGAACTCCTCCGACGACGAGAGCGGTACTCGACCGTCACAAATGGACCAACGCTATCAGCTCCCTGGGGAAAGGTCAAGTGCAATTCTTCTTGCAGGAGAGTTGTGAGCTGTCGCAGAGTCCCGTAGCGTACGCTATCTGCCTCGGGTGCTTTCATCGATGAGTCAGAGTCTTGGCTGTGACTGGTTGCCGAAGATGCCGATTCCGTAAAGACCTCATCATGAAGGCTGCCGATTTGCGCAATGAACGAATCTGAGAACTCTCCGTCTGGATCAAGGCCGTACCGCCTGTATACATGAAGAAAGTCGAGCTGACCAGATGCCATATCAGACAGAAATCGGTGATAGAGAAAGAGCTGAACTTTGGTAGGGCGTAATTGGGGTCCTTCGGGGAGTGTTTGAGCGTATCGAGTCTTGACATCGACAAGATATATCTTGCGTGAGGGAATCTCGTCCGTCTTTGGATCTTGAGAGAAGAATGTGGTAATCTTTGTCTGATCCCGCTCTTCCTCATTGTTATTGCCACTCAATTGTCCTTCAGACTCCGGATTCGGATTCTGATAACTCAACCCATCAATGAGACCATTGACGACATTCCCCTCCACCAAACCCCATACTTCAAGCTCACGAGTGAGGCCTGTCGCTCTCAGGGTCCGCAACCCTTGTATGATATTCCATAATTTCAAGCCGAACACGTCCTCTTTCGATGCAACTTCAACTTGTACAGTCTCGTGCACTTCGTCTTCTAGAGCTTTGTGTATTTTCGTACCCTCTTTCATGGCTGCAGTCCTTGTTTTCTTCCCGCCCGGTAGGAAGGTCAAGGTGTATTCGTACTGCAATTCACACCATGCGCCAGCAGTGAGGTCAGACACGGAGAGCGGCTTCTTTGGATAGGTGCGGAAACGTAGAAGTGGCGAGCGCGTGTCAAGAGAAGATTCTGGCTCGGGAGGTAACGGTATCGTCACTTCAGGTGGGAGTTGCGATAAGGCTTTGCCCACTAAGCGCTTCAGGGTCAGTCAGAACAACTTCGTGGCAGAGACGGGGCAAATGGAGCTTACAATCCGGGTAACTGATGTCATCCACCGGATTGACAGTGGGTGTCGATCTCGGAGTAGTCTTCTCAGCAAATTCGCCAACACTGTCGGTTCTTGCAATGCCCATGATAGGGGCTTTGCCCTTGGGGGTGCTGAGAAGATCTGGGGCATGGCTGTGAATGGAGATTGCGCCAATGTCGTTGAACTTGGGCGATGCCCTTCTAGTGTAATCGGTTTCTAACGAGCGATCGAGCACAATGTCGAGATCATCTATGTGCTTTCGCTGTCCTAATGACAGGGAGAACAAGTTGTTGTTGTCGTTTGCTTCTTGGTTAACATGGCTGGAGGAAGTGCTGGCAACAGTGGCGAAAAGAAATTGTTCGTCTTCGGCAGATAGATCGTAGCCATAATCGCTGTCGCTGTCGCTGTCTCTGTCGCTATCGTGTGGTCGCATGGCAGTCGCCATTTCGGCATCTATGACGACGATGCATCCCGATCTCGAAAGGAGCGAAAAGGAGAGAGAGGGTGAGGTGAGATTTTTATTCGCGTTCTCGACTGCGTCACGACTCACACACTCACACTCACACACGACAACTGCCTAGACCAGCGATGCAACCGCCAGCAGACCCCGCGAAACGCGCTAAAAACTAGGAGAGTCACGGTTCCACGTGATAAGATCCAACCAGTCAGGAAGCCTGCCATTGTCATCATGTAGTCGGCTTAACCATAATCAGGTACACCTTTACAGTACGTACAGTACAGTATCAGACCCTAGGCGGCTACTCCCTACCTACTCCCCAGCCGGTAATAACTGTTGATGCGTCAAGAGTAGGTATCAACACCTCCTAGATGAGAGATTACTACCTTTACAGAAGTTGGTGGGACTATACCTAGGCAGTAATAAACAGAATCTTCAAGACCTCAATAAGTATCATCAAGTCTCGTCATTTAGCATCGTGGCCCTTGACAAATGAATTCACATGGTCCTGGCGGAGGAGTACAATGGTCCCTGACACAAGAGTCCGTCGAGCTCCCTTTGGCTCAAACAATCACTTGCTTCCCGGAAAGGGACTCAAATGAAGATAAATACACTTTGGGTCAGCTGTAGACACTGCCCTGGTTTTCTCGAGTTCTTTTGCTGATAAAGATAGACACAATTAGGTATCCAGTCGCTTGGTGATCTCTGCCTAAAACAAGAATACCGAGAAGCACAGATGGGTGGCGACTTGCGACCAAAGCCAAGAACTGAGCATTCGAGAGTGAGAAGTCCCCAAAAGCAGTAGCAGCTTGAGTCCTTGCTGTTGAATTCTGAAATGACACAGTTTCTTGATGGTTGTGACTATTCCAATCTTGTACCTAGGTATGTGATGTCAGGCATCTACACCTCCGCCGGGGTATTTATTGTTAGTTCGTCAAGGGTGAAGATACTGAAAAAACAAGGATCGCGTTACCTGATTAAGGCTTCGAAGCTTCTGTTTATTTCTATAGCCCCACTGGCCTTGACAAAAGTAGCAATCCCCTTGTTTGTAGAGTCGTGATCACTCGCCTAATTAACAATAAATACCCCGGCGGAGGTGTACATATTCAGCAGACCACCTGAATTCTGTTGCCTATGATGGGGCTTGTAGGCTGTCGTTTACAGAGGCGCCCACCGCTAATCGGGCGGCGTTCAGGTGAACAGCTCGAATGGGGCCCCTAATGCGCCACCACCGCCGCTGCCACCAGGGGTCTCTGTCCACTGGGAAGGCAACCAAGGAATACAAATCTACCGACCCTCCTTTGCAGTCTCTCGTGTCTGTGGTAGCCATCGTCGATGCGAATGCTTCAAGCTTCCTTCGAGTACTTAATATACCATATTCGGAGTAGTTCGCAGCCTTTATTGAAGTATATCTTCTTTGTGTTGGAGTGCTGTACAGCCATCCCCCATGCCCTCCGCCTTCCGGTCCCGTTTCGCCACTCCGGCGCCCGCCAAATTGGTGGCACTTGATCCGCTAGACTGCCCGTCAGACACCGGCTCCGGCTCCGGGAGGAAACGGCTGGCGACATTCGCTAGCCTGCCGACCGAAATCCATCTCCTCATCAGCAAGCGCCTCATCTACCCGGATGCACTCTCTCTCAAACACACAAGTCGCCATTTCTACAGCCTCGTCGACACCGGTGTCAGGCTCAAAGTAGAATGGCTCGTAGAGAGGAGAATGCTGCACCTCGAGTGTCCGAACAACATCCGCTGCGACCTGGGAAGCGACTTGCGCTTCTGTAGAGGCAGTGTAGCGTGCGTTGCCCCCTTTCTCATAGATACTACATCGACGTTCACAATACTGATATCAACCTGTAGTCTCCTTATGCAACGACGGCGGGAGCATGTCGAGTGCGAGTCAAGACCAGGTCTCGGCTGCTTGGTTTACGGAACCAGCGTGTGCACGCACCGACGAGACTTGAATACGATATGGAAACGTTGGGCTAGATCTCGCGTAACGATTGAGCTGTGGTGGGTGCTCCTGGCCACCATCCCTTGTCTATTTGGTTGGCTGTGGATAGCTGAGTTCTTCGACTGGAAGCTGAGATCATAACCTCAAAATTGGATGTCGCCAACATTTATTGTCACAACATCCTCAGTTTCGGTCAACTTATCAAGTACACTAATTCTAATTAATGCACTGATCGTTTAAAATAAGCAAGGACAGCTGCAGTTATTTTGCCATCTATGCTCAACATAATGCTTGTTTCTGGAAGAAGATAGGTAGCTGAACTTCGAAATTTATTTTGCTCAAGTTTCACCACTTCCTACATGTTTTTCTCAATGTTCGTGCCTCTGGAGAATTCATGTCGTTATTATACATCTTGGCAAGTAAAGCATGTGACTTGCGAAGTCGGACCTGGTGTCCGTATATCCCGAAGTTGTTTTGTAAACATCATGCATTGCTCGGTGAAGTAATCACAATGTGGAACAAAATTAGCAGCCGGCTATATTGTACCGTTCAACCCAACGGCGGTTGAGAGCCCGTGATTCGACAATGGTTTAGTTCTGCTTTTACCAGTTACGCGGGTCGGAGAATTAAACTAGATGCTAATATATAAAACCTGCCATTGCATCTTGATCTTGCATGCTGCCCTTGTCCACGACACTGGTCGCCAATCTTCCACCAGATTTTTCGAATTTTGACCAGCCATAAAGCTATAATGAACTTGATATAATCCAAGAACTGTGAGCTAATCGCTTTGTCAAATTGCCGCCAGCCCTTGTTCTGGCGGCATCCTATGGCTTATCGCCATGTCTCCCAGCCAGACTATTCAGCCTGATTCTGAGTTACGGGCGGATCTCCAGCCTTCAGGGGACGAGCCAGAAATCCTTGTATCCTAAAACGACTAGTTCAATAAGTCCGTAATCTGCTAAGCCAGTTCAGATTATCTATATTGCTTTGATATTCCGGACCGGTCGACAGCTCAGTCACCAGCCCGCACTAGTTGATGTAATTCAACCACGAGTACCCGAAATAGGATCACCACAGAAGTCGTCGGCTGTTCTGCTATGATAAACATGGGGGCCTCGTTGCCATATGTTTACCGATAATCCCGATAGAGGAAGAGATAGCAAGGATGAGCTTGGTAAATAAAGTGTGCCTGGACCAGGCCTCTGGACTCGTTCACAAGATCCTGGTTTCTCGAAGTCTGTGGCAGCACGTTTGGGCATATGCACATTGAGACAAAAAATCTATTTCTCAATATTTTATTCTTGGTCATCAAGACTTGTAGGTTCAGCATATCTATCAGAAACTTCAATTCATCTCATGGCGGGCGCTACTTTGACGCGGATTCTGCTGTTAGCAGCATCAGTTGCAGCTCAGAGAAGCCAGGTACAGACTTCTTGGGGTCAATGTGGGCAATAAATACCGTTCTGTTTCTCGTGAATTTGCTCTCACTGACCGATTTGCATAGGTGGCGGAGAGAACTACAAAGGGCCGACAGCTTGCCCGACAGCCATGGTCTGCACGTTTGGAAAGTGAGTTGCCTATCAAACAATACGTCGCTTTGATAGGCGTGATTAACAACCAACTAGTCCCTGGTATTCTCAATGCGTCCCAGGAAACCTCGACGAGCCTCTCCCTGGTGTCCCCGATGTACCCATCGTGACCGAAACTCAGCGCACCACCGTGACAGTAGGGGGTCCGCAACCGACAGTCGTAACCACATATATAACCTATCTTACGCCAGCACCTACCTCGCCTCCAACTGCGCCGCCGCCTCTCCAACCGACCGTGACGGTCATTGGTGGCGTGACGTACACATTCGTCCCCGATGCTCCTTACACCCCCCCTCCTCTGCCTCCCCAGAAGCATGTTCGTGAACCCACGGCCGTAGCGCCCCGGGCACCAACCCCGACGACGTTACAAAAGGGGCAGTACTGGATCCGGGCGGTCGCATCACCGAACTTCCACAAATATCTGCAGACCAAGCCCGCCAACGAGCCCGGGACGGCACTGATTGAGGACTATCGGACGGCGGGTCAGTTCAACATTGTAGACGGCCAGCTGGTGGAGAGCTCGGGCGGCAACCCCTTATACATGAACGTCGAGAAGCCAGACGACTTCACGCAGCGGGCACTGGCAACCTGGTTCAACACCACCAAGAACACATTCGGCACGTTTGCGTTCCAGGGCGACGCCGTGACGTGGAGCACACCGGAGGTGAAGCGCCAGAACCTGGCTGCTTGGCTTGTGTGCAAGGGGCAGGCTCTGTTCATCAACACGGGTGCGTATGCGTACCAAACACCGGCAGGATGTGCAGACCAGACGGTAAGAAACTAGTACCCCCTTCGCCTGAAAAGCTATTAAACATTGTATCATTGACTGATTGCCAGATTCACTACTATAACGGAGATACTGCCAACAACTAAGAAGCGAGTTGGGAACAGTGCTAGTGAGAGCGAGGCACTAGGGCTAATGGAGATCTAATTATCTCGAGTCGTATTAATCTGCTAATTATATGATTTCTGTGAGCAATACAAGTGACTTCCACTTGCTAATGGAACCAGATGCAGCAGTCTTGAGAAATTGCAATTATATGCCAAAAGCCTTCAGTGGAAACATTTGAGTGTCTATCAAATAAATTTACATTGTTTCTACACTATGACCGCACTCACACTGCACAGAAATGTGAGGTATCATTGCCCATTGATCATTCATTCATCTCATCATTATTTCCTCTTCCGCTGGAGTAGACAATGCCTGCCCCACTTGCGCCGGTACTTCTCCGGGATGATATCCCAATCCGGCAGCCAAAGTGCCCTTGGAAGGAAGCTCGTATTGGCGGCATCGAGGAATGGAACACACTTGACGATGTCCCAGTTTTCGGAATCCGCAATGTAGTCTGGCTCATTCGGTGGCAAAGACAAGCCTTTCTCTGCATTCAAGGGATACTGAGTGTCCACTAGGAAGGAACACATCCTTATGTCTACGTATTTGCCCAGGTCTTCTTCATTGCGGTCATTCATGCCGATTGCCGGCAGCCAGGTTCCGCTCCAGAATCCAAAGCCCGTCCTCGCTTCTGAGAATTCGCCAGGCAGTAGGCCCCGGAACTCGGATCGGATGAATTTGGCGTGCATATCCCGAGGCAGGAAATATGAAGTCGGAAATCGGTACCACTCCTTGCCAAAGCACACATTGTCCTCTCGGCCACCCACTGTGCCGATCTCTCCTGTGACGCCGGCGCCTAGGGGCTTATAGAGGGATAGAGGCGCGTGATAGGCCGAATAGATACCGACGATTCTGGCAATGCTCACATCAATGGCCAGGAGGCCGGTTGTTATCAAAACAAAGAGCTTCAGACGCGCAGGAATCTTGCTAGCAAGTGATCCAGGGTTGGGGTTGCCAATTGCACCAAGGAGGATGTGTGTTGCGATAGCGGCGTTCAAAGCGAGGAAAGGGTACGCAGGGTACATGAATCGCTCTTCCTTGTGTGGCTGCAAGGTGAAAACCCCAAGCCACATGTAGAATGGCGCAAGGAAAACGATGGTTCGTAGTCCGGACTGAAAACCCCGCCCAGACGGCGCGATCAGCTTCTGCAAGATGAAGAGTGGCAAGGAAGCCAGGGCCAAAATAAACCAGATATTGAAGTTCAGTGCCAAATTTTTGAAGTAGAATGTCCATGGCTCCGTTCCGTAGAGGTTAGGCCCACCGCTTGAAGAGAAGATATTGTACTTGATGATATTCCAGGGGATGACCTCAATCTTCTTGTAGAAGAATGTGTTGATGACCGTGTCGACCGCCTAGATTTTTAGTACTTGACTAGACAAGAGCGTAAAGATGTGCCACCTACAACAATGACGACTGCAGCAGTCACACCCCTTCCGACTCGGATAAAGGCCTCAATGAGTCGATCTTTGTCACTCAGAAGGGCGAAAATGCCCTCTTCGACTAGGAACGGCGCACACAAGGCCGCAGCGAATGGCCAACCGATGAGACCACCAACCGCGAACCAAAACATGCCTTGCGATGTCTTCAGTCCCCCTCTCCAATTCATGAAAGAAGCGGCACCCAACATAGACATATACATCGCAAAGCTAGAGGGAAGGAAGGCGGTGCTGGCATGGAAGTTGCCCGGGCTGGTAGCGAGAGCCAAGACAAAGAAGATCCCAACTCTCACATTGAGGGAAAGGCTGATGACTCTGAACAGTAAAGTTTGGCATAGGGCGCAGCCGAAGGCGAGTACATATCGGACAAAGTAGAATTCGTCGAGCTATTGGAGATATGGTTAGCTTTTGAAAAGGGCGAGCTTATACAGACCAGAGTTTCACCTTAGTCGTCTGTGGGAGAAGCCTGCGAATGTTTCCAACTATTGCGTGTAGGCCAATGTAGAGCCAGCTTCTGATTGAAAACTCTGGAGAGTACTCCCAGGTTTGAAGGCCGTAGCCATGGCTAAGATAGTGGGTGGGCTCCCAGTAGTTGAAGGTCTCGTCGCAGTCTTGAATCGGGGCGAAAAGAGCCGACAGCATGTTGACGGAAAGAAAAGCATAGAAGATCCATATTGGTTCGATACCATATGGACTTGGGGCTCTGCATACTCATGTCAATACTTGCAGTTTTAAGTCTTGGCTGGTATTTGGGTAGCCAATGTAGAATGCCGTACTTCTTCTTCTTAGCATGCCCAGCTGCCGGGTGGACAAAGTCAGTAGCCTCAGCTGCCTGAGCAGCTTGTGCTCTCTTTGGTGGCATCCTGGGACGATTGGGAGCGAGGCTTTGTCTTTGGTAGTCACGGGAATTATCTCTCCTTCATTGATGTCTGTCGAAAAGACCACCTCAACAAATTGAAAGTTTGGTGGAGTGGTGAGCTTCCAGCTGAATGGAGCTCCGATGCGCTGAAAACTGGAACGTGCGCCCACTCTTGAGCAACAACGTCATTAAGCCGACAATTAACCGCCGCTTCCCCAGACTTATCGATAAGCGATAAGAGACCAAAAAGTTTATCTGAAGAAAAAAATAACCCAACCTGGGTACAAGCCTCAGTTCACCTTTCCCAAACTTATGCACTGAACAGTTCTTCCCGGCCTCAAGATCTCTCTCCGTTGAGAAAAGAACAAACATGTCGCTTATATTTCTCTCAATTTAATAGTCTTATCTACAGCTGCCCAACTTCGGCCAGACTACTCGACAAGCCATCGTCTACGCTTCTTTGTGTGCACCCTCAACCTCGGTCTGACTCGAGTAGATCGCGATCGAACACTCTCACGATACCGACTGTATCTCTTGCATACTAGTGTTATCTTGGATACCGGACTGCGCCGGAAAGTACGATGTCGTCAAGTTTCACTATCCCTGGCCTCGGCCAGGCCAAGCCGAACGAGACTCTGCCAGCCTCGAGTTTCGCGCCCGATATCATGGCGGCTGCTGCAAGCATTGGTGGAGACATCGATGGAGAAACAAAAGAAAGCTCTTCGAAGGGAGTGGATCAAGATATGCGGAAAGAAGCTAGTGGAGAGGCACAGCAACACCCGAGTGCCAGCCCGGCAGGAGATGCTGCTGGTGTACAGCCAAGCACTGACGGCGATAGGATGGAGGTGGACCAGTTGGATGAAGACAGAATTGAACCTACAGCGGCAGTCGCTTCAGAGGAAGTCCAGTCGAGATCCGGCCCATCTGGCTCACCCAGTGTGACACACGCGCTTGAGGCTGTTTTAGATGGCCTATTGGGGGCCACTTCTGCGATAGAGCAGGAACCCGCAGAAGCTCGAGTTGAGGCAGCCGCAGCAGATGTTCAAAACGGCGACGAAGAGACTCACCCTGAGTGGGAAGCTGATTCGTCACCTTATGTGTCTTCGGACTCAGACAGCTCAGATGATAGTTCTTCGGAGGACGACTCTTCGGAAGATGAAAGTAAGCTTATGGGAATCGAAGAGACTGTGAGGATGTTGATGGAGGCCGATGCTGGGAGTGATGATGAGGCCGATGGCTCTAAGATAGCCAAGCAGGCCGCCGGAGTACGCACTAAGAACGAACTACCTGACGAACCTGACGAGAGGCCCAGCATTGTTATCCCAGCGGATGACGAGATCTTACCCTTAGGGACGGTAAAGCATATCGTTGAAGGAACACAGGTACTGGTGGAGGCCTTGACTGGTGTTGTAGCACCCACTATTCTTGACAGAGGATCCGTCCTTTGCAAGGAGGATCGCACGGTGCTTGGTGTCATTCATGATACTATTGCTACAGTCCACCGTCCAATGTACCTGATGAGTTTCAGGTCAGAAGAAGAGATCCAAGGGGCCGGTGTGCAGACAGATTTGCAAATTTGGTATCCTAAAAGCCATGCGAAATACGTCTTCCCCGCACAGTTGAGGCAAGAGAAGGGCTCCGATGCCAGCAACCTGCACGACGAAGAGGTCGGACCAGACGAGATGGAATACTCCGACGATGAGGCTGAGCAAGCCCATAAGCGGGAGAAGAAGGGTCGTAAACGAGGCAAGGGTGGACGAAATAAGGACGATTCGGAGAACACAAGAAGGAATGGATTCACAGACAATGCTGGCAATGCCGATCAGCCACTTAACTACGATGAGGATGAGGATGGACCGTATAAACCACTCGCGAGACCAGCCAACTTTGGACGGGGCCAGTCATTGGCAGCGCCCAGTCATGGGAATCCGCCCAACAACAACGCGAGAGGCGGTGGGTCATTCAGAGGGCAGCGAGGCGATTCCCGAGGACGTGGTGGACGCGGTCGAGGCTTTGGTGGTAGAGGCCGCGGTGGGAATCATCATGGTCATCCTCATTCGAACGGATCTTCAGATGGATACGCTCTGCCTCCCCGACCTTACATGCCGCAGTCTCCCTATAATGCAACTTCACCTCCTTCATACCCTCCAGTTCCGCCGCCGCCACCTCAGTATGCCGGACCGCAGACGGGAGTTCCTCCACCCCCCTTCCCGCCTTTGCCTGGCAGCTTCAATTTCCATGTGCCAGGCTGGAATCAAGGACAGGCTCAGCCATCGCCATATACTCCACAGATGCCACCAGCCCCATACCCATCTTATGCTCCGCCTCCAGCTGGAACTTATGGCACTCCAGCTCACGGTGCTCACGGTCAACCAGGGCAAACCTCGCCCCCTTCTGGATACTATGGGTCTCCAGCGTATGGCGGCCAGCCTCCGAACGGACAGCAGCGATGGAGTTAGGAACTCAATGCTACCGATCCACCCGAGGAGAACGAAGAACATACGCCTCAACTAACTGGTCATTCACCCCGGTCTCAATTGCGGTTACTCGTTTGCGAGGAGCTAGAACGACGAGGTATATTGCGTGCCGAGCATGCTATTGAAGAGCATGCTCTAGATGAGGCTACCTCGCTATCCCTATATGAGAGACGCGACCTGGAAGATGAATGAGACACAGTACGTAAGGCAAATAGGCAATGTATAGCCTTGCCTCAAGGCAGAGAATCACAATGCCTCATAATCGTATTCTCAAGCTTGCGAGAACTCCTACACTAGTCAAGAGACTCTTACATATGCAACTGCCATGTGAAGAGCAATAAGAGCTCGTTGATTGATCACGATGTAGTTGCAACCCGGGCTGAGTTTATATAGACACAGAATATGACAATATCATTCTGTCAACACATATAGGATTTATTTCGCCAAATACGATTTGGTTGGCTTTCATTTTTTTTTCTTGTGCAAATTGAATGAACCCAATGGGAAGGTCCTGTAACAAATATCCTGTCGTTGACTTCATCACTGTGCGCGTTTGTTAACGAAAATGTCTGTGGTTTAACATGGCTACAGATATTGTCTGTAGGCTGGATCTGTTCCCCCTGCATCCCGCATGCGCCTATTTTCCCGACTCAGGTCTGTGATGCCGACCCACGATACACTCAAGCACGAACGCCAGCCTTGCAGCTTTGATCCATGTAGCTGATCCACGGAAGTCAGATGCAACCAGCCCCACCTCCAGGCCTACCGACTGCCCAAATTTGTGAGCCTTGAGAGTATGCCGTCATATGCTTCTTTATCGCACCCTAACGCGCCTTCTTCTAATCATTCCGTAACATCAAATTTCCTCAATTAACTCAGCTTGACAGCCACTGGGAGCGCCGCCGTTCTGTCATCTCGGGATTTGTGGAGGCGATGGCCATGGACGTGCGCCCCATTGGACAGCCCGGACCTGGATGAGCTGCAACATATGACGATCATCGTGTGCGCATGGGCCAGAGGCGCCGGCGTTTCAGAGATGCAGGGACGCCTGGCGGTCAGTCGGCTCACCCCAGCTCATCACACGGCGTTCCATTTTCACGGCAAACGTTTACTGAGGAAAAGGAAACATAACATTAGCACACAAACACGACAGTGGGTCCATGTTAAGTGCTGAGGCTGAGGCCGGCGCGGGATTTTGGTGAGAAAGTCGTGCGGTTTCCTTGGTCTATAAGTCATGGCTCGTGATAGTGTTGTCTTCTCGAGCAGCCATCCTTGAGCGAATTTTGCATTGTTACAAGCCGCAACTGCCGATGGAGTTCATTAATTCTGCAAACAATTCTACTTATTCTTCTCTTGCGCATTAGAAAGAGATGCAACGCTCTTTCTTTGAGGCATGGCTAAGATCTCAGAAGCAAGTCTCTATTCATCCTTATTACAATGTAACCGGATTTCGGATCAGAATTGCATGAACGTCAACATCATGAGAACCACATTCGAAGAAACAATGGGCATTCGAGCCGGCAACGGTTTCGTTTCTACCTACCTGGTACAGTATGCATAACGGTAGAGAGTGGTCGAGGTAGGGAATAGGGGCTGGTGGGAGGTTGTCCAGAGAAGGAAGCAACGAGCCAATTGGACGCTCAGTGGGTGAAGGGCTGTACAAACGGGGAAGGCGGTCGCGCAGATCAGAGAGCTACCCTTTCGTTACCCCTGGTCTAGGTAATCTCGCTTGCTGGGTGACGGTGCATCCCTCGAGCAGCCCACCAATCAAGAACTTGTCGTACCTGAGAGGTGGGGTCGAAATGGCCCCTGCACGAGGCGCCAACGGCGGACGGCGCGACCTTATTGCAAAGAAGAAAGAGCGAGGGACGGTGGAGGAAAGAGCATTGGAGTTCAAACATTGGATGGGAAACCGCCATACAGAAGTGTAACCATCGTGGCCATCCTGCCCCCGTGCTACGCTCCCACGCTTCACTGTCATCCACTCCTTTCTTTTTTTGCTCCATGTAGGAAGGCTGCCGCTGAAGTTTCCCGCCATTCCTCACCGTTTATAGTATCGAGGAGCCTGTGTGGAGGCAGTTGGTGCCGCAGGAAAGAGAAGTGGAAGCCATTCACCTCCGTAAATGTGAAGTGATCAAAATTAGCCTGGGCTCAACACCTAGCAGGGGCTATTTCTTCCAAGGAAGCAGGCACAGCCCAGCTACGAGGATGCAGCATTGGGCATCATCTAAGCAAGTGCTTGATGAGTAGTAAGGTACCTTGAGTAGGCAGGCTTACCTAGGTAGTTCTAAGGTACTTACTGTAAAGTGATTAAACTGCAGGTACAGAGCAAGGTATCCTCCGGTCGCTCTCCTTCCTCTTTCCCGGGTTGTAGCTTACTTCCACACTTGAAGGTTCACCTCTTGTGTGGGGATCAAGTCACTTCACTTACACGGGGTCCGCTCCTGCCCTGCAGGTACACACTAGAAAGCACCACACCACCATCCCATCTGCAGCCACACTCTCTTCCCTCCCTTCAGCTCTGGCCGCCTTTTTCGCTCCCTTCCCTCTCTTCACCTTCGCGAAGAGAGACATCCCCTCACTTCCTGCAGGTCCTCTTCCTCCACCAAGCAGCATCTCACTCTTATGACTGCACAGAGGTTGTGGGACGTTTGACTGTCTTTCTCCTCCCTCCCTCTCTCTCCCTTCCCTTCGTTATACCACGCCAACTACCTTACGTTCTTTTTCCACCACACCCGACTGACCGGAGTCGTGCCCACAGCTGTCGCTGCTATCAAATCTCTATCTGCTTTTCCTTTTCGCAAACCTTCCATTCCTTTCACCAGACGCGCCACTCGAAGCATTCCAGTCTTCAACGTGCACCAAACAAACTCTGCGGGAGAACCCCGTCATTGCCGAATCGAGTAAATAAGACAAACGCGAGTCGAGAGTATCCTGTTGTGGCTGCTGGGTTCTGCTGGAATTTGACTTACAGTCTAGCCAATTTGTGACGTCGCTGGCCCTGACTTTTCCACAACTTGACGATTCGATACACCTAAACCCGCCTTTGCGCGCGGTCGAACGCCTCTTCGGTTTGTTATCAAAGACATCGTCAAGATGCCTCATCAGCACCACCGCTTCCACGGTATCGTGCGAGCGCGCGACGATGACTCGCCCTGGGCCCAATTCACCAAAGGCGCCGCCAGCGCATGGAACGAGGTCAACCCTTTTCAAAAAGAGCAGTCAACTATTTACAAGACCGTCTACACGACACAGACACCTGAGGGCTGGGACGGGAAAGGCGGCTTGACGACGTTGTCACCCGGTGCGGGTAGCCGGCAGGAGAACACTGCGGCCGTGCAGAACGCCGCGACGACGACTTCATCGTCCAGCACGCATACGACGAAGAAATCTACGACTGCGACTGCGGCGAGCACGAGCGCATCCGACATCCTGGTGCAGGATACATCGCTTCCAGCATCTATCATCCCCACGTCTGCCAGCAGTGTTGACTCGGCGATTGTTATTGCTACCAACACTCCTACGCCGGTTGGCCAAACCGCGCAGTCTACAACAGCGAGCGCAACTCCTACGACATCTGCAAAAGCACAGGAAAGCAGTGGAGACAATACTGCAGCCAAAGCTGGCATTGTTATCGGCGTTCTTGCTGGTGTCTTTGTAGTAGCGGCTATTGTCTATTTCTTGTTCAGCCGCCGGCGCAAGCAAATCGAGAAGCAACGTCTTGCGGATGATGAGAAAGTCAACGGACCATTCGGTGACCATGCTGCAATCCCGACAACGCCGTCTCGAGCGCCTCGCCTCAGTCTTCGTCCTGTCACTCAGTTCCTGCCCAATCTCAACCCACACCCTCACCCCGACAGGAGGGCAAGCAGGGGGGCTGCTATTGCCATGGTTGCCAGCCCGAACAGTAGTCGTGCGCCTGGTCAGAGTGCATGGGAGCGTCCTCTGCCGCCCGTCAATGCGAATCCTGCGAATCCCTTCAGTGATAATGCCGAGCGTCTGCACACTGCCATTCCCGAAGAGCCGTCTACGCCGCTAGATAGCCACTCGGCCGGTAATGTAGGTGTTGCGAACACAACTTACTCACCGCCAGGGGTCTCTCCTATCTCGGCCGTTGCTGGGGCAGGCGCTGTCGCTGGCGTCGTCGCCGGCGCTGGTGCAGTATCTGGTCTCACGCGAAAGCAATCTGTTCGGAAGGATGTTCCCAAGCCGCTTGATCTGACGCTGCCTCCTCCACTGTCTGCTGTTCCACCCAGTCCTGCTGGAACTGAGTTCAGCGTGAGTTCTCTGTCGCCTGGCCAGTCCCCAGGTCCTTCAGCAAGTGCAGCTGCCATTGCTGCAGCGGGTGGCCCTCAAACTTCCGCTGTTCACCGCGTACAGCTAGACTTCAAGCCGACACTGGAAGATGAAATGGGTCTCAGAGCTGGTCAGCTTGTTAGGCTGCTCCATGAATACGATGATGGCTGGGCCCTGTGCATCCGGCTAGATCGCTCCGAGCAGGGTGTTGTGCCCCGAACCTGCTTGTCAACACGACCGGTCAAGCCTAGGCCGGCCAACGGTGGTCCCCGCGGCCCCCCTGTTAACCCTCAGCGCGGCCCCAATTATCATCCTTCAGGAAGACCAATGACTCCCCAAGGTGGCCCGGGATATCCACGCCCTGAGTCACCCATCAGGCCGATGACTGCCGGACGCCCGCAGTCTCCAGCCGGTAGACCCATGAGCCCATATGGCGCTCGACCACAATCACCGGCCGGTGGCCGGCCTATGAGCCCGGGGCCACGCTCACAGTCGCCAGGTCCTAGATATCAACAAGGGCGGTCTGAGAGCCCGAACCGTATGAACCGGAGAATGAGTCCACCTGGCCCCAGCCAAATGAGCCAGGAGTACAAACCTGGCCCGCCGACTGGTCCTGTCGGCCGGAAACCAGTGCCTGGACAAGCATACTAAGTTCGACACCGTTCTTCTACGATAACTCGATACCCTAAAATTCTAGACATGTTACCGTGCTGATGGCGCGATGGAGGGGGTTTAATGGCGTTAATATGGTGATCAGGGGTGGTCACCCGAAGTTCAGCATGACGAAAGTCCCATGGGAGTCTTTGTCATTGGATATGAAACTGGTGTTTGTTTCTACATTTCACGTCACTCGCTCATGAACCACTTATTTGTACAATTTTCTAGCTTAACCTGCCGACCTAGATAGCCACCGTCGTTCCGAAGGAGGGGTGTCAGGCATCAGATGCGTGGACAATCTGTAATTTCTTGTCAATAATTCAGTACTTCTCCCGAGTCTTGGGCTTCTCCGTCAACGGGGATGTGTGCCTGAGGCCCGTCTGTACCAATACGAACTACTTGTCGATTATCTAGACTCATCATGCTCTCTTGTCTCTCGTAATCCAAATCTATATGAACAGCACGAAGGTATATCATTGCATTGGCCAATATTAGTACAGCATGTGCTTTTGGGCTTGGTTCTTGCCATTCCTGTAATCTATCTAGGGTATCTAAACTAAGTATCCAATGCCTTCCCGAGTGTCCTTTATCCGTCAATTGTTATTCACTTCATGACTGATCGCCTATTCATCAATTGGACCAGCCAGCACCGCGAAAGCGCCGCCGCAGCCGACCCAGTTGACAACCTTATCCTTCACAGCTTTGCCGATGCGCTTAGGTCTCTCGACAGTATCATCCGTGCCGAGTCCGGTCCTGAAGTCGGAGGAGAAACCCCACGAATACGCGTGTCCCTCGTCGGTGATGGCAAAGCAGCAGTCGATTCCAGCTGCGACAAGCTTGGCGCTGAGATCGGGCACGACTGTTGGAACGGAGAGCTCAGTCGGACGCCCTCTCGAGTCTCGGTGCACAACATCTCCTGACACAGTGCTGAGGTCAATGCCCATCTGCCCGTCGTCACATCGTCCCCAAGCCAGCACAGTGCCATCCTCCGCGCAAGCTATGCTGTGATGCAGACCGGCCGCAACACAGACGATCTTGTAGCCCTTCAATGCCTTCACCTTAGTCGGCGCAATGACGCTGATCGTACCCATGCCGCTTCGCTGGCCCCGGGTCACAGGTATGCCTGTCTGGCCGTAGTTGTTCAAGCCCCAAGCCCACACCTCGCCGTCGCCGTTGATCGCAAAGCTGTGGTGGTAGCCCGCGAAGACCTTTACGATTTTGTTCTTGGGCGTTGCGAGATGCTGCGGCTCGAGACTGTTGAAGCGTGCCTCGGTCTTGAGACTGCCGAAGCGGCGGCCCAGTTCATTCTGCGTGCCGGCGCCCCAGCCGTACACATCTCCGGAATGAGTCAATACGAGGATGTGATTGGAGGCGCCGACGAGCGCCTTAATCTTTGGCGGGAGCCCGGGGATGCGCACCGGCCGCACGGCCACAAGCTCCTCCGTTGAGGGGTCTTCGGGATCAGACACGTCGCGGATCATGGACTTCAAGAAGCCAAACGCGCCGTTATTGCCGCGGAACGTGCCCCAGCCCCAGACCTCGCCATGCTCGGTGAGGGCGAACGTTGCATTGTCGGTGGCGACCACCTGGACGAAACGGATATCTGCAGGTGCGTCCACGAAGTTCTCGTGGGGAACCATTGCAGGTGTGGCTTCAAGTGGGTTGAGCTCTGGCTCGTCATCGTCCTCTGCATTCTCGTCTGGTGACCATACGGAGCTTCGCCCGAGCGTGTTGGAATCGTTGGCTCCCCATGTTATGATTTGGCCGTCGGCGGTCAGCGCGGCGCAGTGGATACCGCCGACACTGACTTGGACAATCCTGCTCTGAGAAAGAAGCTGGTTGAATACCGGTCGTACAACGAGAGTTGGGTCTTTGACGGCGTCGGTAGCAACAGGACCGAGGCCAAGCTCGCCGCTGCTGCCTCCACCAAAGACATAGATATTCAAGATCTCCTGGGGGATCTGGTTCAATGGAGTATCTTGGGCGAGAGCGACCGTCTTCGCCCGCTTCTGGGGTTTCTTCCCCTTGCCATCGTCTGTTGCTCGTTTCTTCGACTGTCCGGCCGCCCGTGTAGATCTTGCTCTCGTCGTTTGCCCAACGCCTAGGCCCTTCATCTTCGCCACGAGCCCAGAGCGTTCCATATTGTCTTGATTGTCTGTCTCTTTCCCCGGCTGTTGTTTCGTCATGGTGAAAGTCAGTCTGCTGTTGTCTCGAGAAGACCGATAGGAGGGAAGTTGTTTGAGTTGATCAGATCGGAAACCCAGTTCTAACGCACCACCTCTTTATGGCCGTTGGCCTGCACTTCTTTGTGCTTCGCCGCCGCCGCAGCAGCAGTTCTCGCCCGTGACGCCATTGTTTGCTCTTTGTTTAGCGCTTATGCGGATAATTAGTCGTTGCTCTCATTGTTCAGCCCAAGGCTAATTGCAAATTCAGGCCGATAGTTGAAGAGCTCGTAGGTCAAATGTTGTAAGAGCTGAGGTTGGGCTGTATGTGACAGGCAGACAACACCAATCCTATTTATGACTAAGCGGCTATTGGACCCTCCAGCAGGGTCAAGATCGGAGAGCAAGTAACCTGATATCTACAACAATTCTAGAGTGAAATGGAGTCTCCTCCCATAAAACACTCCTCAAATCCACTACGCTGACTATATTATAATGGATGTCAGCCGTAGACGAGTTTGTCTAGGTCATGGCTTATTTTATTCGCATCTATGATGGCCAATGTGAACGAAATACCCCACCCAGATCAAGCATGAGACATTACGTTCGTTTAACGTGAAGAGGAGAAATATGTTGGATTCGCTGCGCAATGGCGGCTCAGCACCAACTGTTTTCACCGCCTTATGGGAGCAATTGCCTTCATCTTGGGTGCTTGCTTACCTGCAGAATGACTGGCCCTCGTTTGGCGGCATTTGCGATGCGTAATCAACGCCGGCCCAGGCTAGCATCACGTCAAGGATCCCCAAGGATTTGCCTAGTTGGGTAATCTTGGGAAGCAACATCTAAGCACATAAGCCCCCACGAACCCAGGGTTGGTGGCTTCGAGGATCCGTATTCTGTATTATTAATCAGTAAACCGACTATTAGACGGGAGAATTACATCAGACCGTGCTCTGCCGAAACTTAAGTCGAAGTAATACACAAATCTCACCCGAGCATGATGGCGGCCCACTTCGAAGCGTTGAAGGAGGCGATTCCTCCCAGCCAAGTCCTTCTCCCTGGAGAAAACGGATACGATGATAATATCAAACGTTGGAGTAGCACTTGTGTGCTTCCAGCAGTAAGTGCGACGCAGGAGGATTGAAGCCATGGTTGACCATTCGGACCTAGGGAGTCGTAGTGTTGCCCAAAACAACAGAGGAGGTCAGCAAAGTGGTCAAGTTCGCAACATCCAACCAGATTCGGTTCACTGTGTGCGGTGGTGGACACTCGACATCCGGTCAATCTTCCTCAGATGGTGGCATGGTCATCGATCTTCGATTGATGAACAACGTTGAAGTTGATAAAGCAAACAGCACCATTGCGTATGGCGGAGGGGCTAAGTGGTCTGACGTTGACACGGCTGCATGGGAACATGGACTTGCTACTCCAGGTGGAACGGTGAGCCATACTGGCGTCGGAGGTCTCGTCCTTGGAGGTGGGTTTGGCTGGCTCTCTCCGCGCTACGGTCTCACAATTGATGTTCTCCTTTCGGTGGAGATGGTGCTCGCTGATGGTTCCATTGTTACGGCATCCGAGTCTGAGAACCCGGACCTGTTCTGGGCTGTTCGGGGTGCCGGTACGAGCTTTGGAGTTGCAACTCGATTTACCAGCCGTGCATTCCCTCAGGGCAATGTCTTTGCTGGGCTACTGATCTTCCCACGAGACCGTCTAACAGATGTTATTGCCGGTGTGAACGAGTTCCTTACCAAGCAGAACGGCGACCAAGCAATCCTGATGATCATCGGTTACAGTCCGCCCCCCGATCGCGCCCATGTTGTTATCACTCAAATCTTCCACAACGGAACACAGGCGGAGGCTGAAAAGTTCTACGAGCCTCTCCTCAAGCTTGGGCCCCTGGCCAACTTGACGAGTGAGATACCCTACGTCGAGCTGAATAGCATGAGCAATGCAGCTTTCCCGCATAACCAGAGGTGGCAATTCGGCGCAGCCAACATCACTGCGCCCCTCAATGCTTCACTCATCACAGAGGTCGCCGATGCGTTCTACAAGGACATTGATAAGTTCAGTGAGGACCCGGCTAAGGAGGACATGCGGAGCAGCGCTGTAGGCTTCGAGATCTTCCCCAACGAGAAGACCCGCGAGGTCGACCCCGAGAGCATGTCATTCATGAACCGAGGTGAATATTTCAACGCACCAGTGGTGATGAACTGGAAGGATCCTGCACGGGATAAGGAAGTGCGCCAGTGGAAGCAGAATCTTGCAAACAAGCTTCGTTCGGGGGGCTTTGCTGGAGATCATGCGGGCAGCAAGGGAGTTGGGCAGTATAATAACTATGAGGAGCAGCCAAGCAGTGCAGAGCGAGGTTTCGGTGTCAATGCCAAGAGGCTGAAGGAGTTGAAGCAGAAGTTTGATCCCGAGAATCACTTTGACAAGTTATGGAAGCTGACTTAGGTGCTTATGGTGGACCTACTCTTGAACAAGATCAAGATGAATGTTCATATTGAATACAATCAATGACAAGCACCTGTTTAATTGAAATCTGAACAATCTCGAGATCTCCTCTATAGCTGAATCGGCCCTCTTCAAGTTTCCGCTCACTCAGAAAGGAGCGACATTGGCCATTGTCGCTGCTCCGAGAGCTGGCGGTGCCGCAAGAAATCTGCTCGCTGATCCCCTGCGACCTCGTTGTCCTAGATTCATCAGGTGTGTCCGCCAATTGTTTGGACGCGGCCCACGGTGTACAGTAAAAGGTGCACCTTGCGTATTTTCTGAAGTGAGATATGTATCAGCGAGTTCGGGATTGCGACGTTCCCAGCGTCGCGCAAATGGCCGAGGTACAGGCTGATCCGACGGCTGTGTGCGTATTAGTGGATGGCTCATGATCCAGTGAGAGGAACCAAGTTTCATACCTCTTCATCGGGCAGCTCAGGCAGCTCCAAGAGAAAGCTCTTCGCCTTGACTCCCTTTAGCCGATTGAGAAACTTCGTCTCTGCAACACGGCTATGCCATGGTCGAAGATCTTCACTTTCGAGGTAAATACGTAAGCTGCGAAGGTTGGTTAGACTACATAGGGTGCGGCAAAGATTCTCCCACGGATTGTTGCCCGCTGTGACCGGAAACCCCGCGATCTGGGGCTGTAGACCATCTTGAGGGCCGGGAAAGTAGAGTTCCGTTATGATAGGCTTGACACGGATAGAGAGCTCAACGAATTGGACTCGGTTAGCCGGTTGCGAGGAGAGGAAATCCCTGGCGGTCATTGTATCAAAGAAACAGAATGTGATAGTTTCAAACAATGACTCTGTGATCTCGAGGTATCTATACAAACATAAGTACGAGGTTGAGTATGTATGACGACGCTCACGAAACTTACAATCGTTTACACCCCTGCGAGACGGGTACTAATGCTAGAGGAGTCGTGTTTCTGGTATGCTCAAAGTCCCGATATACCGGTTGATCGTCTTCAGTCTCCTCAATTTCACCACATCTCCAGTGGGTGTTCCATTCAGATTTTAGTCTTGCATTCCAAATTACTCTCTCGTCGCTGAGCATATCCATGAATTTGTCGAAGCGCACATCCTCAGCATCTGGATCTGTGATGCAGCGGCACGTTGAAAACTTTCTGTCACTTTTGAAACGAAATATGTGCTGCCGAAATCCGGATGACCTCCAGAGTTCCTCATATATCATCTTCCGGATCTCTAGCGGCAGCATAGACAGGAAAGGCGACGCCTGTTGAGGATCGGCTGTTTTCGCGAAGTCATCCCTCTTGATGATATCGGATGGAGACCCATGCTGGCCAGACATGTTGCGGTTGCTACAGATCAAATGATCGAATTATCTTAGTGATGAATATATGGAGCCAGGAAGCCGATAATTAGTATGCTCGCGATGTGCTAAGAGAGTTGTATGTTGTTGAAGGCGTTTATGAAGGAGATGCGGTGATAGCGGGGTTAGTGTAGAGTGCGAGGAATGGAGGGGCTCTTCAAATCCTCAGTGGTGAGCGCGGTAGCATAGGATCCGATGCACTGGTAACACAGCGCCTTTGGTGCCCAGACAAAATGCTGATGCCTTGCAGGCGACGACGCGTCGTCCAGGCACGCAAATAGCGTACTCAAGACTCTTGCCCTCTTCGGTTCAGACGGTCGTGTGCTTCACATGAATGAGGGCAAGCTCCTGGATTCCATGTGTTCAATGCACCACCTACTTGGCTAGTAGATAGTGTCGGTGCCAATCACCCGCAATCAACAGCCTCGGATCACGTCTCTGGCGCAGCAGGCAGTAGCACTACAACGACCCATTTTGTGGTGCCGTTGCCATCCTTCAATGGCGTCCAGTAACTAGTCAGCTTTGTGCTTTCGCCATCGTCTCTGCAGCTGGCAGTCTCCTGCGAATGAGACGCTTCCGTGGTGAAGATATTCCAATTGCTAAGCGATGTCATGCCAGGCTTTCGGTGCCTTCCGCTTGGACCGCTGTCACTTGTCAGATGTCTGATTGTGACATCAAAATTGGCCGATTTCCCGTCTATTAGCTGGTCCCGCACGATTGTTCTGATTGATTTAGCACCAGAGCAAGGGCTGGCAACATCCTGCAGGAGTTCAAAGACGTCACGGTGAAGCACCTCGTGCTGTCCTAGGCCAAACTGCTTCAGAGTCTCGCTGGAGCAGAAAGCCACCGGAAACCTGCAGCTTGCGTCTTTTCTCGCCGTGGAAGTTCTCGGCTTCCCCGAGAGGAACTGAAGGACCATGTATTGCGAGTAAGGTGAAGGAACGCTGTCCTGTGCTGGTAGCATGCCTGATGTTTTTGTTGTTGACCAGGAGCCGCCTGAAACCCCGGTCACTAAGAGGTCGGGCTCACTCCGTGACATATTTGTCGTCATGGATACTGGGCTCAACAGAGCTTCATTGGCTGGCTGTTTTCGGAAGGTCTGGAGGAATTTGGTGCGGGATGATTTCTTTCGAAGCCGCTCCGGGCTGGCTGACCGGCGTGTGGAGCGTCGCTTTCCATCGCTCTCCGACTGCACAACGCACGACGCCTGAATACTGCCATCTCGAGATGCAGATGCAGAATCACGGCTTATTTTTGACGAAGTTAAGAGCTTTACAAGGTCGTCTCTAGTCTTGAACATCTCTGAAATATCGATCTGGCCACCCAAGTGATACTGTAAAACCCCGTCCGAGTCCACCAGGGGTGCGATGAAAAGCAAATTCCAGAAGCCATGCCCATCTTTACGATAGTTAAGCACCAGCTCAGAACTTGCCTCGCCTTTCAACAAGCCACCCCGAATACGAGTGATTGCCGCATATCTGGTATTGGAGCCCTGCAGAAATCGACAGTTCTGCGATAGAACTTCGCTCTGAGAGTAGCCGCTAAGATCCAAGAAACCATCAGAAACACAGACAATGTCATTGTCTGCACTATATGGGTTGGTAAGGCAGAAAGATTGACCTAAGCTACCAATCGTCAACATTCGAGCAGTCCGTTGATCCAATAAAGCGTGAGAGACCTGAGCTGTCAAGAATTTCGGATACAAGTCCTCTAGCAGGCATTGTTCGACGTATCTCCCAGCACTTCGAAAAACGCCATCAAGACAAGGCACTATTGAGCCTGATATTTGCTTCATGTCTGTGTTCAAGTCTTTCCAAGTCTCTGTTGGGAGATCTATCGGCGTGCTGGCTGCTATACCAACGAATGATGCCGATATTGCTGACAAGGTTGACGCCAGCATTCTAGTAGCCTGTGCGTATTCATGGACCTAGATCTGTTAGAAAGCATAAGCAAAATGAGCTCAGATGACTCACCTTCTGCAAAAATTCGATATCTCTAGCACTGCCATGGGGTTCGGCAAACACGCACAACCGGGACACCACAGCTGGATCTTGGAGCAATGCCTTGAACACATCTTTCCCAAGGATATTGAGAGAGGGAATCCTGTTTGAGATTTCGTCTTCCCGCGCAAACATATTTCCATTTCGCCTGGAAGAGTCGCTACCAATACTGTTCGGGGTGTTGGATCTCCACAAGATCGGTCTTGACTCGATAGAGATGGGGGATATCGGAGCTGTCGTGAAATCATAATCCGTGTATGAGCTTGAAAACGCCCCACTAGAATGATCTCTGAGGCAAGGATCGCTCTTGAGCCGTAGAAGCAACTTCTTTGGCCGATTTCGCGAACTGTGCAGGGCGCTCGGCGGCGGAAACAGCCCTGTAGTGAAATCCCCAGCTGCAATGCATGCATCAGAGCTGCTTACAGTAGGATATTCTGGCGGATGTCGGTTGCGACCCCAATCTTCCGCTGGGGGCAGTTTAGGATTGAAGGAACTTGCTGTCTTTGCTGGCATTTTGACCGCTCATTCCGCGTTACAAGATAGAGGACTGTCCAACATCATTTGAATGAAACACGACGGAGGGCAAGCGAGCATTGGAATGTCAACGATATATCCGCTTTATAGTATGAATCAGTTCTTAAGATCCAGTAGTCTAACAGGACTCAATTTGACAGGAACTGGCTCCAGCTCTTGAGGTGTTCAGTTCGTTGCCTGGTGTGCGATGTCATGGTCAAGGTCGTCTTGCACGCTAGGGATAGGCTAGCTGAACAAAACGAATGCGGGTGGGGAGAGCATGCACATCAAGTTAACATCGTGATGGAAAGACGAGGTTCCGCCGGGACATAAAAGCAAAGGTCTGCCTCTGCAAGCCACCAGAGAAGCAGGCAAGGTAACCTAGCAGGGCATTGAGTGGCTCGATCAGGGGTTTTACGACCCGAAATGCAGATGACCGAGACAAGCAAGACATCCCAGCCGTGCGAATGGTTCCCACATCTCAGCACTATTTTTAAGCCACCATCTCAGATTGCTTCTGCCAACCCTTTCGGCTGGGATGATGGCCTGGAGAGACAGCTGTCGCTAGATCTACGACTCACTTATCGTGCATGAGGTGACAGGGTGTGGAGCGTAGGTCGGCAAGTTCCAAGTGAAATGCTACGCTAATCGCCAGACTAACTAGGAACCCAGGGCGAGACATGCGTCACCCAAGGCTGAATCGCTCCACTGTTAAGGACACTCAGCTGAAACTAGTCACGGCCCGTCACGCAAATCCACGGCTAGCTGGCCTCCTAGCGCTGCTTCTGGAGGCAAAATCAACATTACGGGTGCTTGAATTACGATAATTTCCGAGTGCCTGGGATGAGGCTCGATGTCCGTGAGCCTGCTGAACATAAGCAAGCTCTTCCGCGTCAGCCAAGTGTCGGACGAAACTAACAAAAGAAAAATAGATCCTTGTAATGCAGAAGAAGATGAATTTGTCCTGAGTTGATCGCGTTCGAACAGTGCGAATCAACACCTCTCATTTCATCATTAAAAGGCAACCCTAGTGAATCGAGGATACTGTCACCTGGGGTCGATTATAGAAACGGCATTCAAAACTGTTCCCGTCCACCAATATCGTGTGTCTAT